AAGAATTCTGCCAGTGCCAACAGCTGGTAGATGACATCCCAACAGAGAAGTAAAAAAGGGCCCGAAGCTTTGTCAGACAACCTCTAACATAAGCCAACGGGCTTGATGTTAATGTTCAGAACTTTAGATGGAAAGATAAAAGCAAATGAAAAACAAACAGCAACCCCTCGTTTATGCAAATTCAGCTGAGTGCCATTATAGCAAACACCCAAGCTGGAAGAACTCAATAAACATGGAGGCTACAACCTGGGAATAGTTGCGGTTTCTCTTCATTATATACATAAAAGCTTGCATTTCCTTCATTCTGCAAGTCGGTATTCTTCACTTACAGGACCAAGCACATAACACCAGGTCAATGTGCCACGACGGTAAATTTCCAACAAAACCAAACACCATTCCCATCAATAATGAGATACTGGTACGAACTGATTACACATGTACTATCAATTAAAAACACCAGCGGAGACTTTCTCAAAGAACATGCTTGCTCAGGAATCCCTTTTCTCCATTTCTCCATTTAATTAGTCATTGCATTATAATTAACAAATTCATGCAATAATCATTGTCATTTTAATCATCACAGCGGAAAGTACATTACTTCTAATTAAACATTTTAAATACAACAAAAGATGCTAATCAGGTTGTTCCAGAGCTCCAGGAAATGCTCTTTTACATACATGCCGAAGCGGGCAAGGATTTGTTTGTTACAGCGAATTTCTGTCTTTCAGGCTACCTTAGAGGGTGTAACATCCAGATTGACCCAAGGAGAGAAAAGTCCGGTTTGCAGAGATGGTTTCTTTTATTGAACAGCTCACTTTCTATAGGTACTTGCTATGCTTTAAGCAGACTCTGAAATATTTCATAATAACCAGTGAAATGTCTAGAAAAATGCTCGCTGATGGATAATACAGAGGCGAAAACTTCCATTTACACTTACAGTACGAACATATACCTTCCCCTGCAAACACAACCACGAAGCACAGAAACAGCACTTCAGAAGCACAGGAGTGGTTACGATTTGGTCTTAAGCCAAAGTGCCATTCTGCTACAAATAGCTGCCTCCTAGGCATCAGGGAGCCTACCAGCTCCTCCACATCAGCTACAGGATTGCAACAAAACTGCTCCCTAATGCCAACATTTTGCTTTTTTGGGGAGGGGGAGAGATGGGAGGGAAAGTAGGAGGTGGTTAACCCCAACTCCAGGCTAAAGCCGTATATTTCTCTTCCACCCCTACTGCAGTTGACAGCTCCCATTTCACTCAGGCTAACAAAGCTTATCCAGAAAAATCACATCTGAGCAGGGGGAATCCTTCTCTGACGTGTCAGGGAATGACATGCAGTTGCATTTTCTGGCATGGTTAAAGTGGCACAATACAGGTGGCTTCCCTATATACCTGGTTTGGCCTGAGGGATGGAGGGGAAGGGAAATGACTGTAATTATATAAGCACAACAAACATGTGAGGATTTAAAATGCCAAAATTGGGTGTCAGTAGAAACAGATGCCACTGCTGCCCCCACTGGCCATGTATCATACACTGTATCAAATCTGTTTGGAAAAAATGCTGCATTGCAACACCCTTCCAGACGTGAAGATTCTGAAAATCAGGATTTTGCAGGATGAGCTTGCACAAAACAGATGTGCAAAACTGCCCTCTGCTGTTTAGATTAAGACCTGCTCAAATAAATGATAGTATGACCAAATTGATTTTTCATAGTCGTAAGGGCCCAAGTTGTGAAGAGGCAGAACTATTTGGCAGCAGCTGTTTCCTGTCTCCATGCAGAGTAGAAATCTGAGATTTGAAAGCCACATAAGCTTTATTGTAGCAACACTGTTTTAGGAGCAGCAGCACCCCATTCAGTGACCATAGCAGAATGGGTGAGCACCAATGACACCCTCATCAAAAGACAGGCATACAAGGACATCCTCAGAGAGCAAAGGAAATGAGCAAGAGCTCCAGGACGCAAATCTATCAGGCCATTAAATCAAGGCCTGACCTTTACAAACCAGGAACTGGAATTATACCTCTAAAGACAAAAGCTTAGAGTGTATAAGCTTTTAGGAATTCATGATGGTTAGGTTACAGCAGTGATCAGGAAACACAGAGGGTAGTCACCTTATCCAATGACAAACAGTATGTAATCTATTAGGGTAGCACCTGTAAGGCCCTATTTCAGGGACACAAGGACCCTGACTTTATTTTTAAGCACAAATGGGAAGTACTGTACTTGGAAAGAACCTGCACATTACCTAGCCCTAGTAAGCGGGGCAGCCTGGTACGGAAATATACAAAAGGGGCAGCTGTTTTCTGTAGCTTCATTCACACATTCATACTCAGGATGTTACAGGAGAATAGCACTGAATCCCACATTTTTGGGAAGCTCCATTTTGGTACAACTGCAGAGAGCAAGTACCGTTACCTGCATCAGAAGCTCAGTCTCTGCAGTGCCCAAAAGCTACTTGTCCTTATGAATTAAGCACGTTTCAGCTCTTTGCAAGACAGACTTGTGGTCAAATATGACTGCTACGCAGACAGGTGTTTTTTTCAGTCCTTTCCCAAATGAGAACATTATCTGTACTGATCAGTGTAAGCATGCAAACGGAAAACCAAACCAAGATTTGGGTACAATAGAAACCTTGACAAAACTATATTCTTCACATCAACCTTTTTCATACCTGCATTGTTTAAAAAACTCAGCTTGGGCGTAGCGTTCAACATGCCTTTGAAACACACTAAAAGCACTTAGTGACCACTTCAGAGACTCCCTTGAGGTTTAACTCACGTTAATTTTAACACAACAGTCACGTAGGACCAGTGTTGAGCCTAAGGGACTTTCAATACACCATCAACAGATATACAAATGAAATTTTAGAAAGATTGTTCTGGGTGCATAAATAGCTCGAGCTTTACTTTGATAATGGTTTGCTAATCTCCTACACAGCAGGACTAGGGCTGGGACTTCTCCATTTTCAAAAGCTAGGGGCAACAATAATACTCTGTCATACCTCAGGGTAAGGAAATTAGTGCCAGATGATTCAGTGCGTGCCTGATCACTCTGGTTTTGGATTTGATCATGCTATCTAAAAACCTTAATGGTGAGACATTAAAGAAAGGTAGTTCTGCACAATCACGAAAGTAGCTGTTGTTTGTAGGTTGTTAGGTGGATATTTTTTTTGCTTTGTTCTTTTTTTTTTTTTTCTATAAAACCTGTTAGAGAAGCTTGTAACTAGTGACAGGAAACTTCCTAACACAAAATTAACAGACCTCTTTTATAAGAAATTCTCAAGAGCAGTCACATACATTGAAACCAGTGTGCCTCATTCCTGGAGCACTAAAGAGCAGAGGATGGCTCTGAGAAAAACAGTAGCCTTACCTGCAGCAAAGCACAATTACAGACATTATTTTCCAGCAGCTGTAAGATCGCCAGCAGCAAATCCACAACTGAATTGTTCACTTCCACTTTGTTTTAAATTGCACAGGTAAAAAGGAATACAGTACTGTGTACAGTTAAGGCAGCAGCATTACTACTACTGGTGCAATAAGATGCATCACTACCACTGCACTTTCAATGACCTGCACCTTTGCTCATGTCTGAAGCAAGTTTTAAGTTAGAGCCTCTTACATCTGTGGGCTGTACATACTAGCTACAACAGCAGGAGCTCGCCATTATTGGAGAACATCAAATTCCCATCCTAGACACTATTTTTCTTTTTAACCAGCTTTCGTTAAGTTTTATCTTCAGTTTTTAGGAAAAAAAATAAAAATCAGTCTTATTCAAAGGATTCCACATTCCCACCCTATTAGCCAAGGCACTCAAATCAGGTATCAGAGCTTGCATCATCATACTAGCCAGGTACTTTGGGATTATAGAATTTGAGAATATATCAGTACTTAAGGCTTCACTTAAATCCACATTGTCTAAAAATGTCATTTATATCTAGTTTTTCAGGATCAAGAAAACTAAAAAGGATTAAAGTAGTATGGGTACCTATAACAACTATTAAAGCAACGAACTTCTGCAGACACAATCAGACTATCACCGATTCTTCCATCAAAGGAATTGACAGAAATATTTGCTAAAATACTCAGCTCAGGAAAGCACTGCTGTAAGCTAAACTGTGAATTCAAAGTGGCAACATTATACCAAAGAGCACAAAAAACTATTCAGTTTTAAAGGAAGGGTGCTTTATGTTATTTGAGTTTTCAGGAAGCTTGATCTACCATAAGCTGCTAAAAGATGAACCAAAAAGATCTTACAGTGAAATTGCCACCACCACTCAGGACAGCAGGTAAATATGGGAACAGTTCTGTCAGCATAATCTCTGAATTTTTCCAAACCTTTAAAATTAAAATGTAAAAGGCAAAGTCTGCCAAAAAGTCCAGCTGCACATCATAAGCACAGAACCTTCTACTACTTCACAGTGTTTTTATTAAATATCTTATTAGTAGAATAACTTTATATCTCTAAGACAAATTAAAAGAGAAAAACAGTCATTGTCACCTGAAGATGATGGCTAAGTTTTACTTCTACCTTATGCACCTGAACAACAAAAAGACCAAGTTATAGTCAGCTGTTCAAGAAATTTTGTTCCTCCCAGCTATTAACTTTAATATTCACTATAGAAAGATTCAACAGCAGCTCAAACTTTGGGAAACTGTATTTTCAAGGAATTAGTGGAGAAATTTCTCCTCCACAGCAAAAAGAATTGTCCAAGCTGGTGGACTCAGCAAGAGCCATTTGTACTCCCAAGTTTTGGTATGTGACAAGTGGGTGACCATCAACGTTCCATTTAACCTCTCAAAGACTCTGCAAGGCAATTTCTGAAACTTTGGTCCCATTTTGGAAGAATCTGCCTTTACAGAAACATACAGCAGGCTGGAGTGAGAAAGATATATGGGAGTGTTAATCAGAGTCTTTCTCTTTCAGAGTCTCTCTCTTCTACTCAGACTGTGCCATCTAGTACCTTTCTATTAATGTAACAGCACCATTAGACCAAAGCATTCTTCTTTTCATGAAATTGAAACAAGTCATAGTGCCAAAAAATATTAAGCCACATTGTTAACTGCTTTTTTTTTCTGCCACCAGAGTGGCCTTAGCACAAAAACAGAAAATGGCAGAAACTAGTCTGCTCTAATATGAAATTCAGAATACCCTATCGAGGGAAAATGAGTAGTAGAAGAATTCTGAAAACATATTTAAGTCAGTATATTTTCCTTGTTTTCTCTGCGTTCTGACATTTTACTTCTTTCTAATTCCAGCACTTTTAGTTAGTCTAGCCTGGGGATGTCATCATCTTACCTTTGTAATTTGAATCGGCACAAAAAAAAAATCAAGTCAAATGCCAAAGACTGCTAAATGTTTTCTATCATCTTAACAATTAGAGACTGAAATGTTAATTATCTTACAAAAAGGTTAAACACTTTCAAAAAAAAATATATTGTGCTCTTAAAATATGCCCAAGGTTCTATTATAAACAGCTTTACTTCACACAACTGCTTTAACAGAAGTTCCCTTTTGGCAGATTTGGTTTTGACATGCATCACTATAGGTGTTACTGTTCCTGACAAACAGATCGCTCATTCTTCCAGCAGCTAAGTCACCTATTACCATTCTGATTTGCATTTCTTTTTAATGCGATCAGTTACTGTTTAAATGATCACATGCCTATTTTCTCAGGGGATTACATGAGGTTTTGAATTAACTAAAAGCATTGGAAGACCAGCTGTAACACTTCTGGTTTTCTTAAATGTTGTTATTCTTAGATCATTTGCTCTGCTCTGACACCCAAACGTTCTGAAATTTAAAGCAGTACTATAGGGACACACAAGTGTGGATAAATCTTTATTGCCATAACTTTTTTCTTTAATTCTTTTTTTTTTTCTTCAAAAAATGAGCATTGGGTTTTCAATAGGTTGTAGCTTTATGTCTTTATATGTACAACATTACAACTGCATATTTTAATAATAATGAAGTTAGTGATACTTTGATAACTCAACACAGTGTATTTATAAAATGAATTTTTATCAAAATACACTTTTCACTGGGGTAATAAATAAAATCCTGTGAAACCCACCTACACAAAGTTAATTTTAACTCTGGTAGAACCCGATGTGGTACACAGTCCATTAACTACTATGTTTGCCCCTTTATCCCCCTACTGATGCTCATCTTCTGGGGTAAGAAAACACTTTTTCCCCCTGTTGTTGTGTGACCTCATTCAACATCATCTTCAGCCAAGCACTGTGCACTTACAATTCTCTGTAAGAAGGAGAAAAACTCATTCACAATTACGTAACAGACAGCAGGCAACTGATTATCAAGCAATGTAATTTTACACTGAAAATTAAGTTGTGTGATTACTGAGAAACCTGATTAATGTTAAAAATGGCAATCTATTTGACATAAGGTTTTAACGCCACGTCTTAGAAGTAATACATTGCAATACCTACCAAAGCTGAAGTCAGATAAATAACATCCTATCAGCCTCAAGTGTTGACTTAAGTGATGTGGCTCTGGGCAGCCTGGTCTGGTGGTTGGCGACCCTGCACACAGCAGGGAGATTGAAACTAGATGATCATTGTGGTCCTTTTCAACCCAGGCCATTCTATGATTTATTCTGACCTCCACGTTTTTTGGTTTCTCACATGAAATGTTTTTGCTCCACTGGTTCCTTTGTATCTCATTTAGCTGGTGTTTTTCAGCATTTTTACTAACAATTATAATCTTAAACTGCAATGTAACCACACCTGAGCTGTAATGACAGCTGACTGATAAACACAGAGTATCTGCTTCATGTAAGGCAACATCCTGATGGAGTTCCCTTGCACTTCCAAGATTCTCTTGCGAGAAGATTATCAACGTTACCTGCACAGTAATCAGTCTAAAAAGAAGTGCATTTTATATACATAGCTACCAGCACTTTTATCACCTGGAAAATTTTCCAAAACTGTCAAGTGCTTTGGTGTTAATTAACATTTTGTGCTGACAGCTATCAAAACCAACAGGTTAATTCTGACGGACTCTTATAGCACTTATAGATACTTACATGTCATTTAAAAAAAGCTGAGATTCAAGACCCAGTGCAAGAAAGTTACCTTTTTTTTCAGACCCAACTTCAATCTGGGAAACAATGGATCTGCTTATGCAATAAGATGCCCACAGTTGTCTCTACTTTGAAGAGCTTAGCATACTCTATGCATAAGAGAATTTTTGTATTCCTATATTAACTTGTTTGCTATCAATGCCATGCAATACTTTCCATACATTTTCATATTTTGTTCCAAGTGAAAAACCTTTTTGTCTAACTGAACATTTAAGAAAACTGTATCATAAAAACCAATACCCAAAGGCTAATGTAGCACATGACAGAAGATTACCTTCCAACCTCAACAACATGGAGTGTTTCACATACCTGGCTTATTGTAGGGAGCTTAGTTAGAAGCATTTGAAACACTGGTGGTGGAAGAGTCTGCTGTAGAACTTGTAGTAGCTGCTGCGGCTGTCCACACACAGCAATGGCATTGGTCAAGTGATCAACACCTTTCTCATATTCACCTGTATGACAAATCATAATGTTTTGAAAACAAACCTCTTCCACAGCATGAAGTATTTACAAAAAACATCCACCAACAGTGGATTGAACTACTTAGAATCAAACCACATTTCTTTTCTCCTCCCTTGTTGAATCTTCTGAACACAGAAGGTTAGAAAAGAGCAACCAAACCTAGGAAAGGATCATTTGACTCCCAAATGACAGAAATTTAGTAAAAGGTTAAAAAAAATGTTATTTTTACCACTTACCCTTCAAAAGAAATTATGCTATTACCTTGAGCTAGTAGTTCTTCCCCAAGCTGGATCTCCTCAAGAAAAAACTTCTGAACGGCTTCAGCATCTTTCAGATCAGGCAGCTGTAACACACACAGTAAAACTGAAGTTGGCCCTTAAACTTAAGTTAATAGTTCAGCACAAAACGTTCTCAGCCAAAACCAAACAAATACAATCATATTTTTACATGGAAACTCAAAAAAGAATTATAAGTATCACCACTAAGATAAACATATGCAGAGCAATATTGAAAATGAGACGCAAGTCTCCAATCATTGCATTATACATCCATAGAGGGACAGAGTCTGAAATACCTCTACTTGGTTTATTAAATATACAATTTTGTAGCAAATATAATTTCCAAAGTGTGTTATGTTTATCACAGCCCTCAGAACACATTAAGATAAATTTATCTCTTCTTAAAGGAACCACTGGCAACAAAAAAAAAACAGATTAGCAAATTAAATTTGTACCACAGAAATCTCCCAAATTTAGCTACCAGTGTATCTCACCCATGTTTCTTATATCTGGAAAGTATTTGCAGACCTCCTACGAAAGGAAAAAATCTTCAAGTCACACAGGAAATGTTATGGTTTCTATAGTTTTCCACCTGACTCGAAAAAGGAACGACATATTTTCATATGATTATTTGTGCGAGCTTTAAAAAATAATAATATCTAAAGACTGCATATCTGCAGAAGGTTTGTAATGTAGGGATCACAACAGAAAAGTCGCCCTCTAAACAAACCTCATAAGCAAGCCTGATACAAATAAAACATTTTTCAAAACAGCTCTGTATTGCTGAACACAGTATTACCTTGGAAAGCCCTGCTCTCTCTTTGGCAAGCTTCTGTTTCTTCCTTCCTATAAGAATAATAACATGTGTTTTTCAATTTGCAGTTTAAAAAGACTTCAGATGATAGCTCTAAAAAGTGAATGAGTCAAAGTTAATTTCAAAACGAGAAAACGTTAATATATTCCAAATACTGAGGGCTGAACACAAGAATGCAACCTGCTCTGTGCAACAGAGTACCATTCAGAGGTCTAATGAGAGCTGACACGTTGATTCAGAATGGCAATTCCTCTCCTGCTGGCTATCCTCAACACCAACTGTGCAGAGCCTGTACTCGCATATACCTCACGCACTGAGAAGTAAAGGGAATTAAGCTAATACAGGATTTTTCTCTGTGAATTTCCAGCAATCATAAGCCACAGAAGAACTGTCTACAAGGCAAGGCTACCCAATGTTGAGCCACATTCATTCTGAAATACACTAGTGCACCACCAGAACTGGCAGCCGCTTTGCTTTAGCAGAGGTTTGGGAACTAGTTACATAGGAGCAGGATCTCACTGTCCCACAGCAAAAGCATTACCAGAGCACACATTCCTGAAACTAAATAAGTAAGGAGAGCAAACGGTGACAGATGGAACAAACATTTACAGGCTTAATCATTCAACCTGAAGACATAAAGTTGGTCTGCAACAGAAAAGTGCAGCATTCCAGCACAACTAGTGTAATTAAAATGATATATAGCTTGTTTTTAATGCAATCGGGCAGGTATAACAATATTTTATGGTAGTGGTCATGCACACAAGATTATCCCAGTTCAGTAATACTGGTGATTTCCTTAGAATCATTTTGTTGTTCACTTCATCAACTGGAACAGTTACACCAATGTAACTTGGTATGGCCCATGGTTAAGTAACTGCGCTCTTGGTCCTCAGAGTCAGCTCCATGCACTCCCACCTACCTTAGGCACTTGCCACACAGCCCTCATCTGGCTTCTGACACAATTTTACATGCTGGAAATACTTCCGAATAATATGACTAAAAATTTTAATGGATGTGAGTTAAGAATTTGAGATTGTCCAGATGATGAAGACGTCCAGGAAATCATTTCCTAGCAGTAACAAAGTAACATGAAATCTATGGACAAGATCAAATGTTCCTTTCATAAAGGGAATGCACGTTCTAACCGCATGGATCATCCTTCCTCTTCCTTGGTACTTTCCTAACCCCTCAGGCTTGAGTTTCTACAACATACTGACCTGTATATAAAATTTCACATCATTACACACAGAAAAATGTTGCATCATATAGAACTCTTGCTATTATAACAATATCATTGTTTTCTATTTTAAATACAAATTCACCTTCTGAAAGTTGGTGACTTCAGTTTGCCCGCTCCCAATTTTGTGAAGCATTCATCTGCCCAGAACTTTAAACTACATTAGCACACATGACAGTTGTTCTAATACAATACATCAGCTCTCGCACTGCACAGAATTCACAGGTTTTTCAGACCCAGCTCTTGCGTATGGAAAGTTTCCAATGCAAACCAGTGGGTAACATGATGCTCAGGCAGTGGTGGCAGAACTCCATGCACTGCACCAGCAGCACAGGAGCCAGTCCCACAAAAACAGAGACCATTCACCTCTTCTGTTCTCATCCGCTGTGCAGGAACTGACCAGCTCCCAGTGTTTACAGCTTTACTATCCTTTGGCCCCAAGACTAAGCACCAAAACTAGGAACAAAAAACTAATGTAAGAACGCTGTGCCTACTAATTAAACAAGGTTAAGACATCTGGAAAACCAAAGTCCAGGAGTTCTTGCAGACTCACGAAATTGGTTCATATCCTGAAATCTGAGGCCGACCACTTTCATATTACTTACTGGGTGCTTTTGAAACACAGACTTTGTCCTGATGCTGCTTAAACAAAGGGATGTCAAATACAACTGGGATGGCAAAAAGCGTTATCAGTTCTTTGTTTGTTATCTGGTATTTGACCAAATGCAACAGGCAATCAATCCTCTGATACATGGGATCCCTATCCCTCTCAAGTTCTGCTGACATTGCATTAGAGAGGCTGAAAAAATAATCTTATCCTAAGAACAATACTTGAGATTATCTGCTCTAAATTTCACTGTTAAACAGCACATCTTCATCCAAGGAACTGCAACTGGCTGCTGCACTTGATCCTGGATGTCAAATATTCTATAGATCAGGCTTTGCCATCCAGCAGTAAAAATACTGTCATGATCACCAGGTCACTGACTGCACTTCGGAAACACCTGCACTGAAGGAAAAAGTACAGTATTAAAGAACAACAAAAAACCCCTGAGTATTCTCTAAAGTCTTACAACTGAAAGCTGCCCAGTGCGTTGTGGCTAAGAATCTCTATCTTTCAGTTCTGTCTTCCCAATAGCAGACACTCCATATCAAACCATGATGGATTTCTTTCACTTCTAAAGCAAATATAGATTTCTAAACCCAGCAAGGATAAGCAGCATTCTTAGAACAAGTATAAGATCTGTTCAGAATTTTACTTGATGAGAACTCGGAAAAAGAAAACAACGGGATGCAAAATCCCTGTCAGAGCTTCTGTACAAATTTTATGAAATGCATAGAATCGTATCATAGAAACACAGGCTGGCTTAGGCTGGAAGGGCCCTTACTTAAAGCCTCAGCCCCCCCCTGCTGCAAGCAGGGCTCCCCCCCAGCAGCTCAGGGCCCCATCCAACCTGCCTTTGGGTATCTCCAGGGATGGGGCACCCACAGCTTCTCTGGGCAGCTGTGCCAGGGCCTCACCACATTCTGAGTAAAGAGTTACTTCCTAGCATCTAACCTGAACCTCCTCTCTTTTAGTTTAAAGTCATTCCCTATTCTCTCTTGTCCTGTCACTATCAGAGCATGAAAACAGCCACTCCCCCCTTCCATTCTATAACCTGCCTTCAAGTACTGGAAGGCTGCAGCAATGCCTCCCTGGAGCCTTCTCTTCTTCAAACTGAACAAGCTCAGCTCCCTTGGCCTTTCTTCAGGAGAGATGCTCCAGCCCTCTGATTATTTTTGCGGCCCTCCTCTGACACTGCTCCAATGGCTCAGCATCTATGCAGCCAATTATTCTGCCAAAACCCAGTTTTCTCAAGCAAGACAAACAAATACTAGCCTACTATGCTGCAATTTGCTAACCTTGCACTGTGGGACAAAAAGTACCTGGAGGACACAGAACTGCTTCTGCGATCCCAGATCACAAGCAATGGCTCTTTTATCAGCAACGGCGCTGATCACGTTATGGTTACTTGCTAGGAAAATTTACTTTGAGAGTGATTCCTGACCTTCAGCTAAGTGACTGGAAGAACACACCTATTCTCAGGGTAGAATCAACCAGATACGCAGCTCTCAGCCTGCTTCTCGTTATTCAAATACCTCGCACAACTCGCTCTCACAGTAAAGCTAAATTTAAAACTTCCTCAACCGCTCAAACATTTATTTAAATGTTGAAGACGTGAAATAACGAGGAGCCACAGGACGGGAGCTCCGCGTTTTGGATCAATCACCGGTTCGCTCTGGCATTCGTTCTTATGCCTGGAGGCCAGGGGGGCAGCCACCAGGAGGGTTTGGAATGCGGCGGGTAAGATGTCCGAAGGCCGCCGTTCGCTCACGACTCAGCGCAGGAGCGGCTTCGCTATCAGACCGCAGCTTTACCCGAACGCCGGGAAACGAGCGCCGCCGCGTACAGCGCAGCAGCGACAGGCCCCGCCGGAGCGTGCGGGATTAACAGACCGCGGCACGGGGCAGAGGATGTATCCGCAGGCCGCGCTCCCGGCGCGCACGGCCCACGTTACCCGCTCACACCGCGCAGCGCAAGGGCTGAGGCGCGCGGGGCCGCCGAAGCCGGGCCGGGAGGGCCGCCACGTGCCGCCGCCCCGCGCGGGAGCCGAGCCGGGCGGGGGAGGGGCGGCCGCGAGCGGGAGCCGCGCGGAGGGGGCGGCCCGGACACTCACGCTCCCGCAGCCGGTTCTTGAAATTCGGGTCGCTCCGCCTCTTGCGGTCGAAGTAGATGCAGTAGCCGATGAAGAGGGCCCCGCAGAGGCCCGCGGCGATGGCGCTGGTCTTGCCCACCATCATGGTGCCCGGCGCCGCGGGGAAGGCCCGCCGCCCCCGCCCTCCGCAAGGCCGGCGCCGAGCTCCGCAGGCACCTTGGGGCGAGCGGGCGGCGAGAAAGGACCCCGCCTCGCTTCCGCTACGTCATCAGCCCGCGCCGGAGGGCGGCTTCCTCAGTGCCTGGCGGGCGGCGGGGCCCGCGGCGCATGCGCGAGCGGCGGCACGCTCGCGCAGTCCTCACCCTTCCGGGGCCCTTCTGCCCTACCGCCAGGGACGGGGCGGCGCGGTCGAGGTACGGTGAGGACAGAGGCAGGTCGCGACTGAACGCCCTTGTGTTCATCGGCTTTATTAAAAATAACTTTTTTTTTTTTTTTAAACATAGATGGGTTAGCTGTTCAAACAGCTATTTGTTTTTCCCACCTTTCTTTTTAGTAATGGTCTTAAGTCTTTTGGGCTTGGTCCTCTTTTTGGCTGGATTTGCCTTTTCTCCAACAAATGAATCATGAGAGCCTGACTTGTTTTTCAGCGTGGTTTGAGCTCTGTCCTTAGGGCCGCGGGACCGACTGGTGGTGCTTTTCTGTGGGGCTTTGTCCTTCTCAGAGCAGCGTTTCACGCGGAGCTTTCGTCCCATCAGGTCAGAGTTGTTGAGCTTCAGAGCGAGATGTACAGCATCTGTATTCTGTGAGGACAGACATTCACTTGAAAAGCAGCACACTCCAGTTGATGACTTCCAAATAAAAGGTTGCCTTTAATTCTGTCAGGCAGATTTTTTACAACAGAGAGCACCCGACTGCCTTTACTTCCATAATGTCACATCTCTGGTCAGAAGTGCTCGCACACCCACAGGGCTTATGCACTGGGGCACGTGTTCTTGAAAGAGAACTCTGAACAGCTTACACCAATCATAGGAGACAGACAGAAAGGAGAAACTGGGGGCAAAGAAGATCTTGGGCTGCAGAAAATAAACTGAGTAAGATGAGGCTGGGAGAAAAGCATGAAAAAGCAGAGTTTAGGGAGCTGCAGAAATGGCTGCAGGAAAGAATTCACTTACATGTGGAAACATAACTAATGGGAGAACATTGCTGTTACAACAAATGAATTCATTTTTTCCTCCATTACACCTTTCCCTTGCAGTTAATTTCTTTCATCCCAGCGTTTTGCAACTCTTCTTTGTCCTCAACCTAAAATAATTGCCGCAGGTCTGGAGGAAGCTACTTTTAACACACAAAACAGCACTACCATCTAACATCGCGTCCGTATTTAAAAAAAGCAAGTGTTAGGTAAGGCCATAACAGCAATTCCCAATTCCCATTTTGACAAGTGTCCTGAAGTCTGACATTCATACATACCTCAAACAGAACGTAGCCAAAGCCTTTCCCCATGCCGCTCTGTCTGTCGCGCACAATCCGCACCGCCACCACATCTCCGCAGTCAGCAAAGTGCTCTCGCACAGCGCTGTCACTGATGTCTGCAGGCAAGCACAGCAAGACACGTCTTTTCAGAGAGGCAGCTTTAGAAGCCTGGCCTAAATCCAAACCATTCACCAATTTAGGTACGCAAACATATTTAAATCACACAATCACTGAACCACTCAGGCTGGAAAAGACCTCAAAGATCATCGAGTCCGACCACGACCTAACCATACTACCCTAACTAATAACCCTCCTCTAAATCATGTCCCTGAGCACCACATTCAAATGGATTTTAAACACATCCAGGGATGGTGACCTATAAAATTGTTTAAGTACACAAATATCAGTGTTTCAGAGAAACTCCAGCAAGTTAACACTGCAGACAGCGTGGAAATTCTAAGCCATCACTGTGTATGATTTGAAAGTGGTTTGCAAATGCTGGTACTTGCGGACTTTATATAAGACTGTTTCCTTTGACACTCATTGATCCCCTACCTTTGAAAACTGCAATACAAATCGCAAATGAGAATAAGGACCAAAGTACATTTTTTCAAATAATTTCAGTTATGGGTTGAACACAGTGGAAATGAAGATTCAAGCAACATTTTTGCAACTCCTTCTTATGCCATAAACTATTTTTGAGAATTAATACTGATGATACCAAACCTGAGTCGGCAGTTCCTGAAACCTGATGCTCAGTGACCGGACAAAACGTTAGCTGAATGGGGGAAATGGGATGGCCACACATGTGAGGCTTTCTCAGTCTCATGTTTATGCAATCAGAAAGACAAATGGGATGTAAGAGTACTAAAACATAGGTTACACTCATTTCTGCATAGGTACACTTTATTCTATAATAACTCTCTTTACATGGATATGTCTCTGCACTAGGGAGGGTCTGAATTTAACAGTGAGGGTTTAATTTTAAGGGAATTTGATGTGCTGAGAAAAGTTAAAGGTGCTGAGGTCATATCCAGAGTACTGTCAACGTCCAAACTGCTATTTTCCTGCAGGATGCATGGAAGGACAGTACCAACACAAGTTCTACACAGCAGAGAAATGTTACCATACTCAGATCGGTCACTTCTCCAGCTTTACAGACAGGTCAAGTTTTAACAGTACTGGTTGTTTATCAAGTTATTGGCACAGGACATGCCATCATCCTGCATATTTATGCACCACACCCCAAAGCAAGTTATCCCAAGCATCCTCACTCCATTAATACCCTCACATGGACCACACCTGATGGTGATCCCTTCGTTTACTCAGAAGCAGCTGAATATTCATTAAGCACTGACCTGAACTATAGAGCAAGCACCTCCACTCAGCTAACAACTCACAGCAAACAGCTGCCTGGACAGAGTCACTCATCCTGTGGCTCACAGATGAGCATCAAAATTAGAAGCTGTCCCTGTGTATCACTTGGAAGTGGTTCACAAATACAAGCAGGCATTTGGCAGTTTATTAAGCTGTGACATATGCAGCTTAGTCATATTTATTTAAGAAACGTGAAGTAACAATAAGAAATAGAAGTGATTGCAGTTCTAGAAATGTAACAGAAGAAAAAAATTCATGTGCAGCACCTGCTGAAAACTCACCACTTCTGGTGCCTCTGTCAAAAAATAAAAGTGGTATTTTAAAAGATTCCAACAAATGATAGTTAGCTGCCTAAACATGGTACCTTAAACAATAAATAAAAGAATTCTAATGTCAGTGTATTCCATAAGCATTAAACAACAAAGCATGATGTTCCATTTTACTTACCATACGCAAGATTTCCCAAGAATACAGATCGCTTGTTGTCATGCTAAAGAAAACAAGGAAGAGATTGAAAGCCACTAAGTCATTTGTTACAGCAAAACACAGAACATGAGTTTTTGCATCACACGCTACTTACCAAACTGTTTTTTGATGCACTGTCAACTCTGATGTGAAATCCACTAGCAACCTCTGTCCCATTTCTTTTGTAGTCAAAAGAAAAAGAAAAGTTCTTAAAATTAAATAATGAAGCATTACTTCATTTACAAAGTCACTGCATAGCATTTTTGCAAAAGGCACTTTACTTTTAAGCTTGAAATACCATCTTTATTTTAATACAATTGAAAAGCAGGAAGCAGATTAAATTTATCTTTAAACACTCTGCATATCTGCCTTTTCAACAGGCACAAGGAACAAAGCTGAGACTTACTTCTTTAGAGCCTTAACAGCAGCATGTTCTTCTTTAAATACAACATAAGCATTAATGTACTTCACGTTAGGATGAATCTTACGCCTGGAATGGGAAAAAGACACTTTTTAAACAATTCTGATGTTACGCTGTGCACAAGCACTTCTTGTTAAACAAGTTGATGTCTCCCATTTTGCACGCAGTAGCAACTTCAATTCTTGTAAAGCACATTCTGTCGAAAAGAGTTCCAACTGTACATCTTACACAGCATGTGTACGCACCTCAATCAAGCTTCCTCAGCTCATAAGTACACCCAAAGGAATTAAAGACAATTACTGTCTACCTCCTTCCTAAAATATCTGAAATGCAATCTAACATAATTATTTACTGCTACACTAGGCTTATAATTCCTTATCACTTGTCAAAAGAATTGCATACAAAGTATATTACAAAAATCAAAGAAACAAAAGACAAAAAAACCAACAGCAAAACAATGAACAACAAAAACTTTTAAAAAAAATTTTGTCTTTGAAAAATAAAGCACAAAACTCAGAAGCAGAACTTACTTTATGGCTGCTAACTTTCTGGATAAAGCAACTTCTGCTGGAACCTTTAAGATAAAAAAAAGCTTTCATTACGTAACCACAGTGACAACATATCACAACTATTTGTCCTTGAAGAGAAAGTCAAACAAACACCACTGCCACTTAGAGTTACGTAGCCAGTACACTGAGCAAATGTGATGACCTAGAAATATCTCAAAATCTCAAAAAAATACAGCTTGTTTTGGCCTAGTCTGTTCTGTTTCTTGAGTTCCTTCACCCATTCTATACAGTACACAGAGTTACAATGAATATGCCTTTTCTACTGTAATTTAAAAATAGCTAAATAATCCCGTATTAAATCAGCAATAATAAAGGCCTTCTCAGAGAAAAACTACAACTCTGATGGTACAAATTGCTGTTATAGGAAGAATAAAACGAGATGAAAGGTGCCTCTGCAGGAATATCACCAGTGCTTCTTCTAATGGTAAAATACATTCACCTAAGCCTGCTTCTAAATTAATGAAGATACAAGCCTGAGGAACAGTATTCTGTAAGGTCAGAAAAGCAGATGCCATATAACATCAGAGGAAATAACGTACCACGGAACGGAATCGAACGGATTCTATTCGTCCATATTCTTTGAAAAGAGACTTCAGCATCTGAACAGAAAACATAACAGATGTTCAGTGCATTTCTGCATCCTGATAATAAGAATTACTGTTGAGCACATACTACCAAGATGGTTTTTATACTATTTTCACTTCATTCATGCAAGCTATGTTAACAGGCTACTAAAAACATGCCAGCAACTTGCAAGTATTTCTTTGTTTTCCATGACCACTTCTTATTCTATGGACTGCCAAAACTGAACTAATATCCCTAACTACTGAGGATGGTATAAATTTAAAATGTCGTGCAAAAATATGAAGCATTATTAGTGTTCAAAATGAGCAGCAGGTTCCAGCTTTGTACTTATAGCTCTCATTTATTACATAGATTTTAGTTGA